GATGTTAGCAGCCTGGGCAATGAAGCGGTGGTAGTAGTTGACTAAACTTGGGAAGACCAAGGTCTAAGGCGAGGATGTGTGCATCGTTGGAGGTGACTGGGGTACCGTTGGCGGCGAACAGGTCATATGAGGGTTGCTTTGATGCGTCTTGCTGTAAGGGAGAGATGATGCTGACCGCTGCCCCTGTGTCAAAGAGGAATTTCCTGCCGGAGATGCAGTCAGTGATATGCAGTAAATTCGGGTAACTCCATGAATCCCGAGCGTTAGGAACTCACCACCATCCTTATGGCCCAGAGAATTAGCCAGTCTTCCCCTGCCGCGTCCACTGCCCACTTGGTGACATCACAGGCCAAGCAAACAACTGCCAGCTCCCATCATTATTATGGATGAGTTCATTACTCAGTAGGGCTATTTGGTGGCTGTGTTATTCCCCCAAGTACACCTGTAGGTGTCCACTGGAATTGTCTGAGTGTGGGCCAAGGTACCACGTGGTGAAGGAAAGCTACCATTGCTGGTGCTGTTTGAGCAGTAAGGTTGTTGTAACTGGCGTCATTGCCACGGGTAATAATGGTGCTTTAAGGTGCTGTGACAGAGTTTATGTGTGTCCTTGTACATATACACCCAGTCATGGTGTAAGTGGAAACTGTACCTAGTTCAACAGTACAAAATAAGTTAAACGAGGGAGTTGACCCCTGTAGTTAAGTGTTACTAGAATTGTCCATGAAATCTAACTTCATTTTAATAAACCATTTTTTCTACTTTTAATAAACCATTTTATGCTTTTAATAAACCATTTTATTATATGTTAGTAGTATTATTTCCCAGCAGTATTTTACCGTTATTCCTTCCTACTGCTTGATACCAGAATTACATGTACCCATGTGTCATAACCCTCGAGCCACGCTACCACAGATCAGAGGTTATGAAGTAACTTGAAATGAGCTAACTATAAAAAACTACGGAAAAAATAAACAATAATTAAAATAAAGCTACAGTAAGACTTCACGCTCTTATAATAGCATTAAGGAGAACTCAAGGTATCTACCTGTATAGGATGATTGGGAAGGTCCAGTTGATATGGACTAGTGTACTATAAGGGATAAGTGTAGATCGTGTTTGAAGGTCATACTATTTACG